ATCTGTTTCGTTAATCACATACTCGTTTTAGATATCGGATGTATTTCCCGCACAGGTACTATGTTGGGAACTCTTGAAGATCGGTTAGTTAATTATCTGGCGTTTTAAGATATGTTTCTATACGGTTTATGAAAGTGGCTATCATTCATTTCAACATTGAATGTTATCTTTGTTGGGTCAACAGCTCGGGATTCTGTGACTAAATAAAAAGTAAATTGAAAGCGGTTTTTAAAAATAATTTTCTAAAGTTTTTCAGCAGGGTTTTTTGTTCAAGCCGCTTCAACTGACTGGAAGGTTAAATGATTTTTTTTATTTGTTTTAGAGTCATATGTTTACTCTGCGAAGAAAATGAGACTAAAAGAGAAAAATGTACTTTGAAACATATTCACCGGCATCTTGGGTACAAAAAATATGCTTGTAAAGGATGTGGTTTTTCATGTTACACAGATGACGAAGCGATGGTCCACAAATATAAATTGAAACACCTCATTTTGGTAAATTCCACGATGCTTTTATTAGTTGAGGATTCCATTTTAATAGGACGACTACTGCTTTTTGTATATCCTTATTGCAGTTGAAAGATTTTTTTAATTTCAGAACAGAAATAACGAGTATAAGGAAGCACTTTCAAACCTGATTTATTTCAACTGTTTGCAAGCTGCTGAATTTGGCTTGAGTGCTGTTGTTTCAAATGGAGTTATTAATATTGACTGCTTAACGCAGTAAGTTAGTGTGTTTTTCAGTTAGTTTATCGTTAAATTAGAAATTGCTGTGGTGCAGATGATATATTTTAGAAAAAATGGTTGTAGAAGGCTGCCGAAAGAAACTGAGAAGGCAAAGAAATCTCAAAAAAAAGAAGAGAGTTTAAGTGACCGTTCAAGTAGAGGGAATTCGATTAAGGCTACTGAATCAGTAAGCTCAAAAAGCCGACATACTGTGGAGGACAAGCAAAATGCGAATGCAAAGGACAACGGAGTGGACTTAAATAAGCCATCGTCATCAAAAATGATTAGGGATGATGCAAGCTCTAGTGCGGTTAGAGAAGTTGATTTGGAAAGGTCGATAAAAATCAGTAGTTCTAATGCAAAGTCTCATTCGTTTAACTTGGGCAAACATGGTCATCTGATGACTCCATCCGTCTCCGAGCAGAATTCTTCGGTATTTTTAATACTGTTAGAGAGTTTTTGGAGTTTCCATTTCTCTACGGACAGGGTTTTTATTGTTTACTTAGTTGTATTTGAGCACGATGCAGTTAGTTATTTTTGTTCTTTTAAGAGCACCAGTGTGACTGTCCCGTTGTTGCAGTCAAATAATGCACAGACTTCGAAATGTCGCAAATGTGGCGAGGTTAGTGGTTTCATATTCTTTTCTCGTTATTTCGTGTGAGTTTGACGAACTGGCATTTGATTTTAGGCATTATAATGTAAAATTTTAGAATTTTTTTTATTATTTGTTTTAGGAAGTTAACACTGGCTATGTTGCCCGAAAAACTCATCTTTTGGAAAAGCATTTCTCTAAGAAAGTAGACTCGTTTTCAGAAGTGGATATTTGTACGGAGTTGCGTTTGTGCTTTCCAGCTTCTGTTATTTATAGTGACGAACAGGTAGTTTTGGAACTATTTTTTTGTCTTATCAGTATGTTCATTGTCAAATCCAACATTTGTCAGCGAATATATTTTTAGTATTTCTTACTTTTGAGTATTTACTTTATTTGTTATCTGTTTAACAGTTCTAGAATATTAAAATAGATTTGAAGATTAATAATATTACGGAAATTGCGCATGATGTTTTCCCTGCGTATGCACCAAAGTTTTGTAAAAGCATGTTTTACGTAGAACGTTTTAGTGATAAATCAATGTTTAAACATCTAGCGGCTAAAAGCATATAATAAAGTGAAGTTTTTTTTGACATTTTGTTTTCCTAAAATTTTTGTGCTCTTTTACAACATGTTTTATTGCAGTGTCTTGAGTGTGGTAAGTTTGTGAAATCAGAAAAAGGGCGAAGGACGCATGTTGCATCTCAGCATTATAGGCAAAGAATTGAATGCGTAGTTCCTGGGTGTGGCCTGTATGAGGGGAACCCAAGTGACTTAAAAAAGCATATTGAAGTTTGTTTTACTGGGGTATTGGTCCTTCCTAGTTTATTTCTGAAGAGGTGTTTTTATATATTTTTTACTTCAAATTTCTTTTTTTTCTTCTGTTATTTATAACGCGCAGAAATACTTGTAGAGTGTCCACGGTGTTCCACTTTCAACAGCTGCTTCTGGTGATACGTTTCGTCTTTTTTCATTCGCCAAAAGGGATTTTAATTTTGCACTTTCCATGCAGGTTCTTCGATATGTACATATTTTTGTTATGAAGAAAGACCATCATATTTCTTTATTTTTCATCTCTCTGTTACAGCTTAAAAAGTATTTTCCATTTGATTTGCCGACACGTAACGCACCGACTAGTAGCGTTGAGCGTAGCCGCGGTATTCTACCGACAATTAGTAGTGAACGTGGCCTTGCAAGTGAAGTTAATGCGGATGAAAAACTATCTGAAAACAAAATCGAAATGCCGGCGTCTTTGAATCGGCTACCATCTTTCCCGGCCGTTGGTTCCAGGAATTGTGAACAAGTGCCAGATCAAGAAAGGAAAATGAAGTCGGAAGTTTATCCGGCCGTTGAGGCTATTGCCTGCCATCGTGTTGAAAATAGAACTGAAAGTCTTCCTGCCCCGTCAAAACAGCGATTAAGTAGCGGAACAAGTGCTTCAGCTTCAACCTGCATTCAGAAATCCAAGAGTCTTGAAAATGTGAAAAGAAATTTGCCGGTAATTCATTTTACTAAAGGATAGGTTTTGAGAATATTTGGCATTTGCCTTCAGATCGATCAGTCATTTCTCTAGTTCCAGAAGTTTATTTAAGTTTTTAAAATTAAATAATCTAAATTTTGGATGTCCATTTCTGTAATTTTTTTTCTTAGTAGTAACGTCTTGTGATTAGCAGTTTTAATGCAGGAATGTACCAGTTTTCTTAAGTTAACGTTTTTGAAGCGTATCTTCGGTTATTTTCAGTCTGGAATAATTAATCCTGAAGTTTAGGTTGAAATCGGCGAGAAGATTGTGCCTGTAAACTTATATGCGTCCCATGCACGTAAAACCCTCCTTCCTAAAGCTTCGGAACCGTTAGGTTACTCGGTCCAACTACAAAGATGTTCTGACCAAAGATTAACAAGCGGCACATTCCGTGGTCCGTTACCTTTGGATGATTATCATTCACCGCATTCTTGCAGTTCTGTGATGTAATTTTTCTTCTAGCATTGAGTTTTTTTTGTCTTTCTCTTATTAGTGCTTTTGTAAAGTTCGGACTAAATAAGGATCAGCAGTTATATGCAAACACCATGTTTGGTTTCAGTAAATGTGGTCCAATTGACGGTGGTCCTTCTAGTGGTCATATTAGCCGGCCATCTTGGTCATATAATGCAGTACCTTTTGGTCGTGTTAGTCCCACTTTAGTTTCTCTACTTTCTTTTTTCTTGAGTTTTTTTTCGATGAATTTGATCGTAGCTTGATTCATAGTAATTTGATAGTTTTTCTTTTTTTTTTTT